CCATCACACCAGCCTCGCCATGTCCATACACAGCATGGCAGGGACTGAGGGACGTGGGGCTCCAGCTGGATGCCTGGAGCACAGCACAGCCCTTGCAGGAGCGGCCCCACGCTCAGAATGGGCAGCACATGGGGCTGAGCAGCTCCTCACCCTTCTCTGCAGCAGTGCCTGTCCTCCCTCCTCTGGCCCAAGGTTTTCCTGCTTGACACCAACAGCACTTCCAAAGTGCCTCCACAGATCTTCTGGGGTACGGCAGAGAAAAAAAAGTGGAGGTGAAAGAATATATAGATTACAAAGCAAAAAGGGATGAGAGCAAAAGGAGAGACATACGTTGTCATGGTAACCACCAACTGCAGGAGCAACGGAGATGGGGGAAGAGATGGGAAAGGAGAGAGAAATGAGTGCACTGCAGTTCGTGCCATTTCCACAGCCACACGCCCAGAGGAGCAGGGTGAGGGGCAGCAGCATCAGCCCCAGCTCTGGGGGGAGCACAGGGCCCCAGCACACAGCTTCATTGGGACCCAGCCCTCAGCACCCCCACATCATGAGGGGCAGAGGCTGAGGCTCTGGGCACAACACAGCAATTAGGAGAGCCAGACACCAGCATCAACGGTGCCGAACATCAAGCTGTGATTAGAGATGAGCAGCACTCACTGCGCAGTGACACACAGCAGTGGCATTTCTGTTTCCAGATCTCAGTACAACTTAGAGTCAAAGCTGCATGAAGGCACAGCACTGTTGGGTCAGCAATGGAGCGTGACCTGGATTGCACCCACCCCCAAAAGTTGCTCAGACCCTCCTGCAGCCCCACAGGCTGCCCCAAAGCACCCTCAGCCTCTCCTCAGCTCTAATGAGTGCATTACAGAGGCACACAGTCAGCAGAAATCACCCCACATGAGGGTGGGCTGCAGGAGCTCCAGTGCCCAGCTAATGCTGGGAGAGCCCCCAGCCTCTGTGAGCTGCACAGAAGCACCCCCAGCACAGCAGCTCTGCCCCGTGTGCGAGCCCCCACCCTGCAGAGCGCCGCACTGGAGGAGCCCTTCCCTCCAGGCCCTGACAGCTCCTAAATGCTCCTACACTATTTTTACCCCGGGGTTGCTATAGAAACATCAGACCCACTTGCAATGATGCAGCCTCTCTCGGAAGCGCTGCATCACCGCCTGCCTCCTGCCTGTGAGCGCTCACGGGGCGGGGGGCTGCTATTTTGGGAGCCCCGCATTCAGCACAGCCCCCCCAGCTGGAAGCAGGATGGAGAGCAGACACGGGGAGATGGAGGAGGGGGCATTTCAGGGCCCCAGCAGCCCATCCCCCATCCCCAGCCAGTCCTGCTGCCCCCATCCCCTCCACGTGCACAAAGAGGCTCCAGCAGCAGCAGGATTGCAGCAAGCTGTACCCGAGGCAGATCCACTCAAGCTGCAGCTGATCGGGGCTTCCCCTTCCCATAGAGGCTCAGAGCTGGGTCCTGCTAAAGCCAAGCAGAGAACAGCACCGGCAGCCCAACACAGGGGGCTGTGACCATGCAGTGTCCCTGTGGTCCCTGCAGCAGAGCTGTGTGCCCAGCAGAGCCTCTGGCCTTGCTGCAGCCAGGGCAGGGACAGCGCAGCAGGCACGGCACTGCATGGCCACACCAGATGGTCACAGCCAGGCTGTCACTGGCAGAGGCCATCAGAGAGGTCAGCTAATTCTTGACACTACAAGAAGCTGCTACTTACTTCATTTTTTCCAGCAGAAGACAGGGTCAAAATTAATGTGGATGCAAACCTGCAAACATGCAGTGTGTTCCTGCTCAGGTCTTAGGGGGAACAGCTTCATGCAAGGGGCCCCCCTGCCCCAAAACACCTCCACATCCAGCACAGCCAGCACTGTACCATGGGGACACCGCAGGCACCCTCAGCAGCCCCAACCCTCAGTGAAGGCTTCACAACCCCATCACCTGCCCGGACCAGAATGGGTTCTCACAGAGCATAAGAGTCTGGGACAAGTCCAGCACAGGGCCACAGCACACGAGCACACTGAGGAGCTGGCACCCACAGCCCCCCATGCCACATATGCCCAGGGCTGCCCCAGGCTCTGCATCCCGCTGAGCCCAACGGGGCAGAGACTGGGGCAGAGACGTGCCTTACCCAGCACGGGAGCAGCCCTCAGGGCAGAGCTGACGATCTCCAAAACATCAGCACCAAACTCCCCCCCTCCCCAACAGCTGCGTCCATCCCTCCGGGTGAATGCGTTTATAAAAAGCTGCTGTGTGGGGATGAGCTGGCAGAAATAGCTGCACACAGCCGCCGCCGCACCGTGTAAGAGATGATCACCAGCTGTTCTGCAAAGTGCCCGAAATAGAGCCAGCGCGGCGCAGCTCCCGGGGAGATGGCGCGCGTTTGGCTGAGCCCAGCAGCGAAGCCGCCCACCTCCCGCACACCTCGAGCAGCCCCTGCCCCAGCTGGAGCCAGGCTCTGACAAGGCGCCAGCTGCGCTTGCTGCAGGGGGCGTGGTGACAAGGAGGGACCGCAGCCCCAAGTGCTGCGCTCACAGCCTCAGCCGCCGCAGCCCCCGCACAGCCCCGCACGGCGCATATGCACACGCTGGACATTCCGGTGCGGCCCCAGCAGGCAGCAGTTGCTCTGTCTTCCTTCAGGCTGTGCTCTAATGTTAACCAGAAAGCTGCGATAGGCAGACCAGAGCTACCTGCAAGGTCCGAGCAGCACCCAGCATCTCTGCTGTGCTGTCATCTGCATTGCCACGTACCCCTCCACGTCTGAGATACGCATGGAAGGAGCGGGAGAGCTCAGCTGAAGCCTCCCACGTCTCGCACATCATGTGCTCGCTGCCCTCCTGCTGAAAGGCACCGAGTTCACCACACCGTGCCCCCCAGGCAGCGCCGCAGCTCCGGAGCCGTGCAGCCATTACTCAGCAAATCATTATGAATAACGAACAGCACTGACAAAATGCAACCTGTGACGATGTGCCAGTAGGAAATGAGGGGCACGCCTCCATTAATCACTCATTATGAATTATTCAGCTAAACAGGAAGCAGAAGGCAAACTCAGATACGTTCTGCATGGAATTGGAGTGGGCTCTAAGGAACGCTCTGACCCCACGCGTGAGGCAGCCCCTGCTGCAAGCCCAGTGAGCTCCGTGAGCAGCCCCTGCCCAGCAGGCTGGTGGCGACCCAGTGCCAAACGTCTGCTGGGAGCCAGCAGCACACAGCCCTGCCCTCACACATCCCAGAGCCTTGCCTTTCCCACCATGCCTTCCCCCCGTGGCCGTACCCCTGCCCAGCATCAGGTGCCCCTAATGTCAGTCCAGTCTCAGAGCACTGTGATAACCACAGCTCAGGCAGCAGCATCCTCCCACATGGCAGAGCTGCACACAGCGCTGTGCCAGTTGTGCACCTACAGTCGCTCCCCACCCTCTGGCTGGTTTCCTGCCCCTGGTGGGGCCTTCAAAGGAGCCAGGCTCCCCAGTAACCTCAGGGTAAGGCAGGCTGGATGCTGTACAACAGCAGTGGCACTAGAGGTTTCTGTCCCAGTGACAGCAGGATGCCTGTGGTCGCAGTGCTTCTCTGCAGGCACGGAGGGGAGATCTCCACCCTGGAAAACAGCACACAGCCTCTGACTCCCTCCTGCAGCAGGACAGTTTGGTGTCCCTGCTGATGCACTCAGGCCACAGGAGCACACTACCACTGTTGGGAGATGGGCCTCAGGGGGTCTCCAGCCCAGTGAAAGGCCGTGGGCTCAGCCCAGTTTGCTCCTCACTGCATCCCCTTGAGCCTTGACAGCCCCTAAGGAAGGAGGGGCCCAACCTCAGTGGGGGCACACTGCAGCGCCGGGCCACCCTCAGCAACACCGGGGCACAGTGACATACAGGGGGCACCGATGGCACACGTGGCCACGCGGGCACCAGGGGACACGAGCTGCACAGCTCCACGCGTGGGCAGCTACACAGCCAGCCCTGCACGCGAACACAGCGCTGTGCTGCTGGGCACTCACAGGTATGGACACACACACGGGGGCTGCGTGTGCACTCAGCCACCCGGCACACACCTGCACCCACGCAGACGCAGCCCTGCGCGCATCACCGCACAGACACTCAGCCCTCAGGACGTGCGCACGCACACGGACACACAGACACACAGACACACACACAGACCGCGGCCCCGCCTCGCACACGCGGATTCAGACGCGCACCGTCCCGCCCTCGCTCAGACCTGGCTGTGCTGGACGCAGCCCCCACAAGGCCCCCCCCCCCCCGCTCCTCCCCGCACCCAGTGGGGGCGGACGCGCCGCCCCGCGCCCTCCTCCCCGTGCAGCCCCGGTGCGCAAAGCGGGGCCGGTACCGGGCACCGCACACCGCTAACGGGTACCGGCACGGCGCAGCAGGTAACGGGGGCGAACCCCGGCTCCGGGAAGGGACCCCCGCCCCGCTGTCGCAGCACCGAGCCCGGCGCTGAAGCAGGGGAGGCGACACCGCGGCACCGGTGAGGGGAGATGGAGGTGAGAGCAACTTCGGAATCGGAGCGGGGGTCTCGGGGAGCAGCCCTGGGCATCTGGGCGCAGTGCTACCGAGGGGGGCTGGGAGCGCTCACAGCCTTCGGGCCGCGCTGCACTGACAGGGAGGTGGGGGCTGCGGGAGCCACGCATTAATGGGCATGGGCTGGGGGGGGGAAAGGGGAAGCAGGCAGAGCATCGCGCGTGTGCCGTGGGGGAAGGCGGTGAGCGCAGACTGCGGAGTGCTGCGGGTGACGGAGCAGGGGGAGATGCCCAGGGGAGGGGACAGCGCCGCTCGCCGCCGGGCAGCAGGGAGCTGTGATGGGAGAGCAGGGCGAGCAGGCGGCAGGGCTCCTGGGACAACGCACCTCTGACATCGCCGCGGTGCTCGGCCCCGCGAGTTACCGCCTCTGCCCCGTGCACGGCACTCACCGGGTCTCAGCGCTGCTGCCCCATGGGGACACAGGCACACAGCCACCAGGCGCTCAGTTCCCGAGTGGTGCCGCGGAGCAGCACGGAGGAGCCTTGCCCTGCTGCAAGTCCCGGGATCAGCAGGGGAGCCGCTGCCGAGCAGGGGCAGGAAGCGCCTTCCAGAAGGGAGGGCGTCTGCTGACCCCCCGAGCCAGTCCTGCTGCAGAGTGCTGCACGAGAACGCTGCTCTCTCACAGCACTCTCCTATACAAGGACTCCCCACAGCACCACGAAGCAGCACAGGGTTACACACAGCAGAGCAGCAGCTGCTTAGAATTTCCACCAGCAGCGAGGACCATGGCCCCAGCTGCACAGGAGATGCTCGCAGCCTCCAGTGGGCTCCGTGTCACAGAGCGAGGGGCCTCCGAGGCACAGTAGAGCCATGCCAGGAGCAGGGCCACATTGGTGGCTCTGGCACCGAAGGAAATCAGCTGCATTCAAGGAAACATCAACATGGCTGTGGGAGCAGAGCTGGAGGAGAGCAAGGCAAGGTGAACTGAGGTGTATCAAGGAGCAGCAAGAGCAGAGCTGCCCCATGCAGGGAGACAAGCTATGAGCTGAGAGCAAGACCTCACCTGTAGGGCAGGAGTAGGCTGCTAACAGCTATGGGTCACACAAGAGAGATCACCAGGAGAATGCAGAACAGCAAACTCTATCCACAAGTCCAACAAACAAAGATAATCCCACAGAGCTGAGCACAAGCTCAGGGCCTGCCTTTAAATAGGGCTCCCAGCCCATAGCAGGGGGTGTGGGGATCCAGGTGAAGCTGTTCAGCAATCGGCATTGATTGGTGCTTGCAGGGCTGGCAACCAGCACACCTGGATGGGGTGACAGCAGGGGCTGAGTCTGTGGGGCTGCCTGGCAAACATTGCATCTGAAATGAATTCGCTGAGAGAGGAGCAATGCCATAACATGAATTATGAGCCGAGGGAAGGCAGTGCCAGTGCACCTCCCAGCTGGCTCCAAGCAGTGCTGTCACTCCAGGAGACCCCAGAGGAAACAAAGCTTTCCTCCTGCTGCAGTTCCCCCCGCACCCCAGCACCCCCAGCAGGCAGCACACAGCACTGTGGCAGAACCACGGCACGATTTGGATCGGAGGACGTCTCACAGCCCCTCCAGTTCTAACCCCTCCATGGGCAGTGATACCTCCCACAGCCCGGCGCCCCATCCAACCTGACCGTGAGCACTTCAAAGATGGGGAACCCGCAGCCACCCTGGGCAGCCTACACCAGGGCCTCAGTGCCCTCGCGGTACAGAATCCCTTTCTCATGTCTAACCTAAATTCAACCTCTTCCAATGTGGGAAAGTGCTACAGGGCTGCCCATGTGCAGAGGGCTCAGCGGAGGCTGCAGGGGGGCTCACCTCTCCATCCCATTCCTCCCCAGCTGCCGTGAGCCCTGCATGCCATGGATGAGGCGACGGAGCTGCAGACCGGGGGGAACTCCCTCCTGAAGGCAGTGTGGCTGGGCCGGCTGCGGCTGACCCGGCTGCTGCTGGAGGGGGGGGCCTACATCAATGAGAGCAACGAGAAGGGGGAGACGGCGCTGATGGTGGCCTGCATCACCACGCATGTGGACCAGCAGAGCATCAGCAAGGCCAAGATGGTGAAGTACCTGCTGGACAACAGGGCCGACCCCAACATCCAGGACAAGTCTGGGAAGACGGCCCTGATGCACGCCTGCATCCGCGGCGCGGGTGGCGAGGTGGTGACCCTGCTGCTGGACAACGGGGCCGACCCCAGCCTGGAGGACCACTCCGGTGCCTCTGCACTGGTGCACGCCATCAACGCCGATGACAAGGATGTTTTGCAGCACCTCCTGAATGCCTGCAGAGCCAAGGGGAAGGAGGTGATCATCATCACCATGGACAAGTCGGCCACCGGCGCCAAGGCCACCAAGCAGTACCTGAACGTACCCCCACTGCTGGACTTCAAGGAGAGGGCCTCCCCTGAGACGAGCACCGCAGCGCTGAAGGCGGCCGCCCCATGCCCACAGCCCGCCGAGCAGGAGCTGCCCCCCGGGGACGGTCCTCCCACCAAGGCCACCCCTGAGCCACCCTCCCCGGGCTGGAGGGGCGGCACCACCACCAAGAGAGCGCGGCTCCCGCAGCTGAAGCGGCTGCAGTCGGAGCCGTGGGGGCTGGTGGCGCCCTCGGTGCTGGCTGCGCACCACGAGGAGCAGCGGGTGCGCACGGATGACGAGCTGGTCAGCAGCATCGGGGAGCTCGCGCTGTGCAGGAAGGCTCCCCTCAGCCGCAGCAAGGATGCGCCCCTATTCCCGCTGGTGGACGAGCAGGCGCTGCGCACGCCTCCAGCCCCCGGGTCCGGCTGCAGGAAGGGGTTCGAGAAGGGCCCCCAGCGCCTGCCTCGCAGGAGCACGGTGCCGGAGCCGCCGGAGAGCAGCGAGGTGATGGAGGCCCTGCACTGGCGGCGGATGAGCGCCGAGCACCACGAGTGCGACGCCGGCATGGCCGAGGTGGGGAAGGTGGCTGCGGAGAGGAGGAAGCTGAGCGGCTCTCACCTGGCTCTGCTGGGTGGTTCGCGGGAGGCTCTGGATGGCGCCCCCAGCACCTCCCCCGCCGCCGCCCGCCGCCCGCCCAACCTGCTGGAACGGCGCGGCTCCGGCACGCTGCTGCTGGACCACATCGCGCACACCCGGCCCGGCTACCTGCCCCCCCTCAACGTCAACCCCAGCCCCCCCATCCCCGACATCGGAGCCAGCGGCAAGGCCCCCTCCCCGCTGGCTGCCGGCTTCAGGGCCCTGGTGCCCGTCGCGCCCAGCTCCCCCAAGCGGGGTGACCTGAGAACCAAAAAGAAGCTCCTGCGGAGGCACTCCATGCAGCTGGAGCAGATGAGGCAGCTGTCTGATTTTGAGGAAATCGTGGCACAGTAGCCGCTTTCCCGGGAAGTTCCCCAAACTGCCCTCTGCAGGAACACACGGCAGTTCGGAGCGGGGCGGTGCTGCCCTGGGAAGCGCTGGCAGCCCTGGGCTCGAGGCCCCATGCACAGAGCACTTTCCCCAGAGCTGGGGGGACAACAGGTGGGCAGGCAGCACAGAACTGAGTGCCTGGAGCCCTGCCATGCCGGCTGCTTTTGGACTTTTCCCCCCCCGCGAGCACTTGTCTGAGAAATCCAATCCCAGCACGTTTAGGTAGAGGCAGGCATCACGCAAAGGCTCCCGGCTGCAGTGTGTTTGTTCCTGGTTATTTACGATCCATTCTTCATCCCTCCCACTCATCCCAATGCAGAAAACGGTCTGGGAGCCCCACGCCAGGGAGTCGGGGGCTGACGTGTGTGTGAAGTGCCTACCGGGAAGGAGCTCAACGCTGCGAGAGGATGGAGAGCAGAAATAACCCTCCTTAGCGATTGAATGTATTTATACCCTCACTGTGCTGCAGAGGCGAGACAACGCTCAGAGGTCCTGCGATTCCGTTTCCAAGCGCTTGGCAACACAGAGCCAGATCCGCTGCTAGTGCAGCTGGGGAGCCATGCGCAGAGCTCCGGGTTTGGCACGCTGCGCCCGTGGGGAACGCGGCTGCCCGGCCCCGCTGCGCTGCGGGTACCCGAGGATGGATGCGCCGCGTTTCCGTCGGCACGGGAGCGCCCTCTGGAAATGCGTTTTCGATTTAAATGTGTTGTTTAGAGTAAAGGTGGGCTTATATTTTTACAGCCTTAAAGTTTATACTTGCTGTCGCTCAGATGTCTTACAGACGGAATTTCAGGCACGCTTGATCTCTAACCATGAAGTTCGTCTTCTATTTTTGGCTGAGGAATCCCAAATCCCAAAGTTTTCATTCGCGCATATCCCCATATCTTTACTGACGCTTCCGCCGGCGCGCTCTGACGGCGGCGGTGCAAACACAGCTCAGCTCCTCTTTGCGCGGGGGCTGTGAGCGCGCATCTCACTGCGGGAGCGCGCATCTCACTGCGGGAGCGCGCATCTCACTGCAGGAGCGCGCATCTCACTGCGGGAACGCGGGGCAGCGCCGCGCCGCAGCCATTGCCGCTCGCGTGTGCGGAGCGGGGGTGACGCCGTGTGACGGACGGCGGTTTTACATCCCCGCTCTGCCCGCAGCCGCCCGGCCCCGGCCCCCCGACGTCCCCCGGCCACGCACGGAGCCGCCCCAGCCCGGAAGCGCCGCGGTGCCGCCACGTCAGGGAGGGACGGCCCCGGGCGGGGCGAGCGCGGGGCCGAGCGGCGCGGTGCGGTGCGGGGCGGGCGGGATGCGGGGCTGGGCGCGGGGCTGGGCGCTGGCCCTGCTGCTGGGCGCTCTGCGCGCGAGCGGCACCGAGCTCACTTTCGAGCTGCCCGACAGCGACAAGCAGTGCTTCCACCAAGAGCTGGACCGAGGCCTCAAGTTCACGCTGGACTACCAGGTACGGCCCTGCTCCTACCCGTGCCTCCACCCGTGTCCCCCAGCCCCTGCAAAGCCCCAAGCAGGGCGACCCCCGCACCTCTCCCCCACAGCCCCGCTCCCCCCGTGCTGCCCCGGGAGCTGTGCCCAGACTCGTGCCCAGCAGAGCCCACATCAGAGCTGCTTGGGATGTGCCCACGGTGGTCCCCCAGCCCGGTGGTGGGGGCCGTCCCCCCGTTCATTCTGCCCGTGGGCCCTCAGCCTGGCCCCTGCCCGTGATGGGCTGCGGCGGCACGGTGCCGCGCTGCTCAGGGCATGGCTGTGCATGTGGCACATTTTGGGGCAGCATTCCTCTGCCCGTGGTGCCGGGTTCTCAGGGTTCAGCAGGTGCTGCCCACATCTCCCTGTGCAGGTGATCACCGGGGGCCACTACGATGTCGACTGCTACGTCGAGGACCCCAACGGCCGCACCATCTACAGGGAGACCAAAAAGCAGTACGACAGCTTCCCGCACCACGCTGAGCTCACGGGGATCTACACCTTCTGCTTCAGCAATGAGTTCTCCACGTTCTCCCACAAAACCGTCTACTTCAACCTCCAGGTGGGCGACGAGCCGCCCATCCTGCCCGACATGGGCAGCCGCGTCACGGCGTTGACACAGGTGTGTTGCAGCACGTGGCCAAACGCACAACCCCGTGCGACCGCGCTCGCTCCCTTCCCCTCTGCTGAGTGCAGAAGCGCCCGCTGCCAGGCAGCGCCGTGCCGGCCTGCTGGTGGCAGAGCGGAGCCGCGGTGCCAGGCTGGGGCGCAGAGCCCTCGCTGAGCCGCGCGGTGTCCCGTTGCCCACCGGGCTCCGGCGCTGCCCCTTGGAGCAGAGCCGCGTCGGCGGAGCCGGCAGCGCGCCCCTCCCCCTGCCCAAGCCGTGCCTGGTGGGTGGCGCTGCATCCCTGTGCCCCCAGATGGAGTCTGCCTGCGTCACCATCCACGAGGCGCTGAACGCGGTGATCGACTCCCAGACTCACTACCGCCTGCGGGAAGCGCAGGACCGCAGCCGGGCTGAGGACCTCAACGGGCGCGTCTCGTATTGGTCGGCTGGGGAAACCGTCATCCTCTTCGTGGTCAGCGTTGGGCAAGTGATGCTGCTCAAAAGTTTCTTCACTGAGAAGAGGCCGGGCAGCAGTGCAGCTGGCACCTAATGCCACAGCTGTGCCATCCCAAACTGCAGGAGGGAGCCGGGGTTTTCATGGTGCTGTAGCGGGGACGTGGCTGGGGACGGCATGGGGAGTGCTGCTGTTGCTCGCCCGGGTGCAAAACAGCTGCCAAGCAGCAGCATCCCCACACATATCGGCAGCAACCCCCAAGATGTCACCTGCCCTCACCAGTGCCAGGCCACCTCTGGGCCGTGCGCCGCCAGCCCAGGTCAGCTCCCCACCTGCAGACTGCAGGCTTTGCATCTGGCTGCGTGCGCATGGCTCCCTGCTGTGCCTGCAGTGGGCAGGTTGTGCCCTGAGCGCACACAGCATCTTCCATGTTGAAATTTCAGCAGGGGCTCTTGGCTTCTTTATTTTGTCTGCTTCTCCCTGTGCAGCATTTCCTAGGCCACAGGAGTAAGCAGCATGCTCCACAGAAGATATTTTTGTACTTAGCTGAGTCCGTGCCGGAGCCCCATCCCCTTCCCTTAGTTGTAGCCCTCAGGGGCAGCTGGCTGCAGCACCCAGCCAGCTCCAGCAGCACCACTTTGTCCTTCCACTTTGCCACTTCACAATAAACCCACACAATTCTGTTCCTGCTGCTGTTATTGGGCACTGCTCCCAGCATGGCATGGCAAGCTCCTGCCCCATCGTGCCCCAGATCCCCCCAGTGCTGTCAGCGACTGCGCATGGCTGCTGCCCTCCTGGGGACCTGGCACGACACTGCTCCTCGTGCATGGCTGCACCTGCAGGTGCAGTGCCATGCCATGCAGCCATGGTGTGGGATCAGGGCATCAGCACCATCCTTCAGCCCTGCCATCACCAGCCTGTGGGGACTGCAGCTCTGTGCTCAGCTCCCTCCCAGCTCCCTGCAGCAACTGTGGGGCTCTTGCGGTGCCTCCAGAGCCCAGCCTACCCTGGGGCCGTGTCCAGCCCTGCTGCAGAACGGAGTGCAGGGATGTGTGCCCAGAGCTCACAGTGCCCATCCCACCCATGCACCTGCTGGAGTAACGCCAGACTCCTACTGCAGACCTCTATCCAAGGGGATGCATTTTGGCAGCTCCAAATTCCTCCCGTATCCACTGCCCGCTTGCACTCTGTGCCAGGTCCAGGCTGGTCCAGCAGGATCTGACAAATGCACTTACAGCACAATTCCATGCACCAGATCCGGGGAACCCCATTGAGTAGTGCCTTACTGCCCTCTCCCCACCAGCAGCCCCCACCCTTGCAGGGACCCCAGCCACAGCCCACGCTGGGGCCGGGGCTGCAGCCCCCACAGTAGCAGAGCAGCAAAGCTGCGTCCCTGGCCCCGGCAGCACCACTGGCCTTGGAGCAGCTGCTGTGCTGCTGGGCGCTGCCAGGCTCCCGCACCTCGCAACGACCTTCAGCAGCAGCTCAGATCCTGTCCCCAGCAGCAGGCGGGTGCAGGGCTGGCACAGGAGCAGAGGGACTGCAAGCCCTGCTCTGTGCAGCCCCCAGCAGCGCTGTGGGGATGGCAGAACCACCCTGCCCTTGGGGACAACAGCCAGGGTTCCTACACGACCCAGCCCCAGCCCCAGTGCAGCCACGTCCACAGATGCAGGCAGAACACAAGATGGCCACAGGATGCTTTATTACTGTGTTGTGCTCCAGCACGTAACATAAATGGGTGCAGAGAGGGAAAAGGGGTGGCTCACACCCACCTGGCTGTAGGAGCAGCTCTGCCCTACCACTTACAGAAGCATTTTGGAGCAAAGCCCCCTCCGCCTGCCCTTGCTGTTGTGCCCTTCCGGACACAGAGTGCCATCTTCGTGGCATCAGGCGGCCCTGGCTCACAGCGCACTGCTCTGGCAGGAACTAGCCCCAGCAGGCAGCCCCAGCTCGATTGGTGGCTGTGGCCCCTCCGTGCCCCCTGTACTCTGCCTGCCCCGCAGGGATGAGGCCGAACAGTGGAAGGAACCCGTGGCTGAGGAGGGTGGCTCAGGCTCAGGGTTGTGCCCGCAGGGACAACTGCAGCGCCTCTGGAAGGGGATGGTGAAGAGCCCGTAGGTGATGGGGTCCAGGCAGGCATTGAAGAGGCCGAAGATGAAGAGGATGTGGGAGAGGGATGGTGGGACCTTTTGCTGCATGGCCCGTGGGCAGAACCAGTACCACAGCCCCAGCAGGTAGTAGGGGGTCCAGCAGAGGATGAAGGAGGAGACGATGACCAGGCTCATCTTCAGCGTGCGCAGCCGTGCCCGTGGGATGTTGCTCCCAGAGCACCGCAGCGGCACGTCCCTGGAGGAGACTGAAACGTGGGAGTGGGACCGGTGAGCGGGGGGCTCAGGGTGGTAACCACACCCCAAGCAGGGAGCAAGGACCCCCACCATCCCGGCAGAGGCCGCACACTCGGATCTGCTCGCAGCCCCCCCGCCAGCCCCACTCACAGAGGCCGGAGCCCATGCGCCGGGAGATCTCGAGCAGGATGCGCGTGTAGCAGCACACCATGATGAGCAGCGGCAGCAGGAAGAGGCAGGAGAAGCTCAGCATGTTGTAGAGGGTCTCGTGCCAGGGCTGCGGGAAGCTGCCGCGTGTGGTGCACTGCGTGAAGTTGTGCGGGGCGTGCAGGGTGACGGTGTGGAAGAGGAACAGCTGGAAGCGGAGCAGAGGTGGGACGGGGTTGAGATGGAGACCCTGCCCCTCCCCAAGAGGCACCCAGGGGTCTCAGAGCACCTGAGCTGCAGGGTTGGGCCCCGCACCGAGGGCTCAGGGCGCTGCCACTCCTGAGAAGCCCCCGGGGCCCCCAGGAGCGCGGGGTGCGTGGGGCTGGCAGGCACCTGCGGCGCAGCGAGCGCGGCGCTGAGCATCCACGCGGCACGGAGCATGGCGCGGTTCCTGCGGCGCGCGCGGGCGATGGCCAACGGGCGCAGGATGGCGGCCTGCCGGTCCAGGCTGATGACGACGGTGACGAAGGCGGAGGCGTACATGGCCAGCAGGCGCAGGTACATGAGGAGGCGGCAGGCCAGGTCGCCCGCCCGCCACTGCAGCGTGATGTTCCAGACGGCATCCGACGGCATCACCACCACCGTCACCAGCAGGTCGGCGGCAGCCAGGTGCCGCAGCAGCAGGCGGATGTGGGAGCGCCCGCCGCCCCCCCGGCCCCCCGCCGCCCGCAGCACCGCCACGTTGCAGCCGGCCGAGAGCACGAAGAGCACGAAGGTGGCTGCCACGCGGGCCTGGGCCGCGGGCGAGAAGGTGGGGAGCAGCAGCGGCTCCTCGGCACCCTCGGAACGGGGGCTCCAGGCACAGCCCTGCTTGGGGTGGGACGTGCTGCTGGAGGGCTCCGTGCTGACGTTCCCCGCCTCGGGGCCTGGGTCCAGCCAGCCCCCTCCTGCTGCAATAGGCAGATGGGCAGCGCGGCCCGCGCAGGGCTGGGGGTGTTCAGGGGAGGGGGTGACCTACCGACCCACCCAGAAGCCCACCTCAGCTCTCGGCATTCCCATCTGCAGCCCCGGCACCCAGAGAACTGTGGGATTCCGGCATCGCAGGTAAGCATGGGGAAGCGGTCTCAGCCTCCCCTGCCCCCTGCCTGCCCCAGGCCATCGCTGCCGCCCTGTCCACCCCACTCCAGAACATCCCTCGTGGTCCTACTCAGGGACAAAGGCACTCCCCGGTGCAGGAGCCCTTTGGTGAAGCACCCCATGCTCCCTGCACCCATCTCCCTGCACACCTCACCTGCAGCAGCAGCATCCTGCCCCGTTCCCCCGCCGAGCCGGGCCATGTCAGGGCTGCTCAAACACCACCCACTCGCTGCTCCCAGTGCTCCCACATTGGCACCAGCTGCAGCCAGCCGGGACGCGGGCAGCAGGGCCGGCACTGCAGCACTCTGCTGCCTGCAGTCACCTCCGCTCCCGCCCAGCACCCCACCGGCTGCTGCCCTTGGCAGCTCAGGTTGCTCCTTGACGTAGCCAACCTGCATGGAACGACTCCGTCCTTTACCCCGCATCACCCACACACGGATGAGCGTGAACAGCCTCATGCACGCAGACATGTGCACAAAGGAACACGGTGTGTTACCAGCCCGACAGGCCTGCATCCAGGCGCTGCGGGGTGCCCGGAGCTGGGGTTGCTGCTGCAGAGCCGTGTGTGTGGGGTGCACAGTGCTCGTTGCTTTGGAGTGCATCGTTGGTGGGGACCCGAAGATGCGCAGGTCCCATCTCCCGGCTCCTCCGTAGGACCAGGGCTGCGGGCTGGGGGAGGGGAACGCGGCTCTTTTGCATCTCAAAGGCTGCGTCTCCCAGGCGGAGGGCATTACCGTAATTAGCAAGTCACCTCAGTCATTTCACAGATAAGCGGGGCTCATTAGCCCTGCAGACCTCCTGCCCCGGGGACCCCGGTGCGCGTTAGCATCTGCCCGCCAGTCCCGGGATGGGGCTCCGCACCGCCCGACAGCCCGAACCTCGGGGATCCCCTGCAGCCGAGTACCCGCCCTCCACCCGGGACCCGCGGGGTCTCCAGCTCGGCGGGGTGCGGCCCCCAGGTGACCCTGCGACGTGGGGCCCTCCCAGGCTCCGGGCACGGGGTGCGGACATCGCTCAGCTGTCACTGAGCCGCACCTGGGCAGTGCTGGTGAGCTCCATTCCCAGAGCTGGAGGTGTCTGTCCTGATACCTCCCGGCAATTGCTTTCCCAGATGCTGTCCCCAGCTGCACGCTGCCGGCTCAGGGCCCCGCAACGGTGCTGGCTCTGTGTCACAGCCCCTGCCCATGCCCAGAGAGATGCCCTGGTGCAGTTTCCCCAGCTCAGCTGTCCTCTCAGCCCCAGCATGACGGCTGTGCATGTTGCACCCATCCCGCGCCCAGCAGTTGCTGCAGGAATGGCCACGTGGCGACAGTCAGAGTGGGCAAAGGGGTTTATTTATGTACAGTCACAGTATATTATGTACAGTCTCAGCCAGCATGGATCCGGGCTCCAAGCACCTTGCTTTCACCACCCCCTTGCTGTCCAAGGGGGGACACACGTCTCCCTGGGTCCTGCAAGTCGTGGGCGTCCGATGGTGCGTGGCTCAGTCCTGGGGCTGCGGTGGGAGCAGAGCCTCCAGCAGAGAGAGCAGATCTGCTGAGATGTCCTGTGGGGAAGAGAGAATCGGTGAGGAAAGCACTGATGCCAGGGCAGGGATGCAGGGCAGGGCTGGGTGTGGGTCAGCAGCATTAGGGGCTGGCAGAGCCCACCGTCAGGAGGGCACCCACTCAGGTACCAGCAGGGCTCTGTGCTAGCTGATAGGAGCCCAAACGATGCAAGGAAGGGTGGGAGCAGCTGAAGGAACCAAGCACCCCACATACACGTGCCATAGGGTAGAGGGAGGTCCTCTCCATTCCCAATCCCAGACTACATCACTGTGACCCCAACACCACTTCCACACACCACAGGAGCACTCTGAGCACCCACCAGAGAGATTGTGCCCAGCCCCACATCAGTATCCCAGCTCCACGGCCACGCACATACCTGGGTGACCATCTCTGCATCCACAAAGTCTGGCAGCAGCAGCCCTGTGTCGAAGATGGGGTCACTGGGGGGGTCTGAAGAGGTCCCTGCCACTGCACAGTGAGGAGAGAATGGCCAGGAGGACACGTCGGAGGCGAGAGCCTCGTGCAGCTCCGGGGGGGTCCCCGCGGTGGGGCTGTAGGACGGTGGTGACCAGAGCCCCATCCCCACGTCAGGAACCACGCGCAGCTGCGGACGGGTCTCCAACACGGGGCCGTTGGAGAGCGACCCCCAGGTCCCCGTCCCCGCATCCAGAGCCCCGCGCAGCTCTGGGGGGGTCCCCCAACCCTCCGAGCCGGGGGGCGAATTCTCCTGCGGGGCTGGGGAGCGCGGCCGGGGCTGCGGGGGCTGGCAGCAGCCCAGGCCCCCGGGGCAGAGCGGGCAGCGGCGGGCGGCCGCCCCGCGGCGCAGTAGCAGCACCTCCTCGCTGAGGCCCAGCAGCGCCGAGAGGTGGGCGATGTAGCGCGTGGCGAGGCGCAGGGTCTCGATCTTGGTGAGGCTCTGCCCGGCAGGCGCCAGCGCGGGCGGCAGGTAGTGCCGCAGCCGGTGCATGGCCTGCGCCAGCCGCCGCATCCGCAGCTTCTCCCTCTCGCTGGCGCTCTGCCGTGAGCCCCCGGCCGCCCCTGATCCCCTCCTGCCCGCCGGACCGCGGCGCGGTGCCCTGGCAGGGGGTGAGAGGCCGCAGGAGTCGGGTGAGGGTGCCGGCGAGCTGCTGCTGTAGCCCTCGGGCTCAGGCACTGCGGGGAGACCCCAGTCGTGCAGCGGAGACGCGGTGCGGAGCGCGAGGCCGGGAGCTGCCTGGTGGGCCATGGCTGAGGGCTGAGAGCCGCCGGCCCCGGAGCCCCGGCTTTATGCCGGGCCGGAGGTGTGAAGCGGCACCTCCGTGGCCGGCGTCGGCAGCACTTCAAAGGCGGGGGGCGAGGGCAGCCGTCCTTTGAACAGGCGGGTGAGGATTTTTACCCCGGTGGTGTGAAGCTGCTCCGCGCTTCACCCCCCGGCACTGCCCGCATCCCAGCACCGGCTCTGGCCCGGGGCCGGGGGAGCCCCCCCAGCAGGGATGCACGCGGGGTCTGCGGTGCGGTCTGCCGCAGGGTGCGTGCGATGGGCTCGGCTGCTCGGCCGGCAGCGGGCTGCGCGCTGCGAGCTCTGCGGTGCAACGCGTCCTGCAGACACAGTGGGGCTGGCACTTTTCTCTGTCCCCTCGCGTCCTCGGTCCGGTAGTCCCAGAGCCCAGCACCGCGCTGTTCCAGCCCATCCTGCTCCCCAGTGTGACCTACGGGCCAGGGTGGGTCCAGCACCGTGTCGCCACCCTCAGCCGGGGCAGCGGGCTTTGCCCAGGCCCCCCTGCAGTCCCGCTAATGGCATTTCACATGCTGGTACTAATGAGCCCTGACGCCTGCGGAGCCGCCCGGCTCTGCCTACACCCGGTGCCCAAAGTCCATTGCTGTGACTGACAGCCCCTGCGCTGCACCCCCGACTCCCGCCTGCCCCCATATCCCACAGCAGCTCTGACCCTGCTGCCCCAGTCCCGATCTCCAGTCCCTGCAGTAGCACCCGCAGGCGGCACAGCCCCACAGACCCCGGCCCCTCCCGGCATTCGTGGCCCTGTCCCCGCTCCGGGGGCTGGGAGGGGGCTGGGAGGGGGCCCCCCGCCGCGTTCCCAGGCCCCGCGCAGGAGTCGCGCGCTGCGGGTGTAAAGGTTTCCAGGGAAACGCGGCACCGCGCGGGAAGGAAAACAGATCAGGGAGAGCGCCTGGAAGGCCGGGGGGGAGAGCATCCCTGTGCCGCTGCGCGGCCCCACCGCACCGCAGCTGCACGTCAGCGGCGCAGCCTGGCCGTGCGCTGGGACGGCTCCTGCGTGGCACGGGGTGAAGCAGCGCACGCAGCCCCCAGGGCAGGACGTGCGCAGCCCCTGATAGCGGGGGTGCTCAGCCTCTCTGCGCGCAGGGCACGGAGCCGGGCACGAGGCACGGAACCAGCTGCGGTCACGGGGTGCGCCGCTCCACGGGGAAGTGCTGGCGATGGGACTGCGTGAGCCACCGCTTCATCAGCAACGGTCACATGAAAGTCATTCGGTTTTCCCCGCGCATGCTGTGACATGGAGGTGGTGACATCAGCCCTGCCTATCAGTCACCCCCGGTGGGGCCGCGGCACATCCGCACTCCTCGCCACGCTGGGCAGCACCAATACTGGATCTCCATCCCTCAGCAGTCACACTGTGTGGGTGTCACTGCACCTGAGCACACAGCAGCGCCGACACAGCAGGCGCTCCCTGCCCACCACGCACTGTGCCCAGCACTGCTGGAGCCACGCACACCCTGGTGCACGCTGTGCTGGCAGGGCACATCACCGCAGGGCGCCCAGGCACCCGCCACCCTGCTTCAGGCTGTGTGCCACCAGCCGGGTGCCACAAGGACACAGCATTTTTCACCCTGCGGATGCCACAGACGCAGCGGATAAATGTTGGTGATTTCCCAGCTGTTCCTCTGCCCTCGGTGGAAGAAGTGCCCCTGCGCCGTCCCATCCGAGGTCTGAGCACGCTGGAATGCTGTACAGCTCTGTGCTCAGGCTCCTGACACCAGCTGCACACCCGCAGGGTTGCAGCTGCACTGGGGACCTGGGGGTCTGCAGAGGATCCAGCCCAGAAGCGCAGAGGGCTGTTTGGGGGCACTCAGAGGGAGCTCCACAGCCTTGGGCACAGCCTTGGGCACAGCCCCTTCCCCACACATCCCCCTGCGCAGTCCCACAACTGCTCCCCCCTGTTCCCAGACCCCCTCCTGTGTCTCATTAGCTGACGAGCTCCCAGGTAATGAGTTTTGCGGCCCTGCTGGGCAGGCACTTCCCACCTCCCTCAGTGTTTAGACAAGTGCTGGAGCACGGCCGGGGCTGGGGTCAGAGCCCCTGCAGAGCAGTGCCTGCAGCTCCCTATTGGGCAGCCGGGATCCCCTGCTCCCTCCATGCTGTGCTGATGGAGTGCAGCACAGGGCACTGCGCTGAGGGTGCAGGGATAGATTTTGGAGGCCAGGAACCCAGATCCAAACCTGAGCACTCCTGCAGCTCCCGTCCCATCTTGGCACCGTCCCGCCCAGCACCAGCTCTTAACCCCAGGATCTCCTACCCACAGTTCTACTGGCTGAGCCCAAAGGCCGCAGGCAGGACCTGTGCCCTGGAGCACCTCACCACAGTGCTGCCCACATCCTGGGGTCAGGGCCTGGGGTTTGCCACAGCTGGGCAAGCAGCATGGCTCACTGCGTGTCCACAATCACACAGATAGTGTGCCGAGTTGCATGTAAGCAGCATAACACAAAGTCAGGGACACTGAAGCAGCATGGCTGGATGCAGAGACACTCAGGACCCCCATCTCTCAGCCACGCAAGAGGCAGAGTGGTGCGGGGATGCCAGGGATGCTGGCAATGGAAGGTCAAGGCCTCGCTGCCCCATAGTGCCGTGCCGCAGTGCGGGTGCTGGCAGGGCTGGTCGGCACGTTAGCATCTCTCACGACCGTGTGAATTGGTCCTTGCACACTTCCCAGCACTGGGCAGTGACAATTAAGGGCTGCAGGAGTCAGAACTGACACCTCCGCAAATGGGTCCGGCTTTCCCAGGCTCCCGGTCCAGTCCCAGCCCACACCATGTAGGTTTTGACACCTCCAGGTGGCCACAGAATTGCCACCTCACACCTTGGGCCCACATAAAGCCAGGGCTGCCCAAGGACCCCCAGACGTGCGCAGCCCCAGAGCGGAGCCCGCCATGGCCGGGTCCCCACTGCCACCCCGCAGCCTCCAGACCCCAACAGCCACCACCCCGACACCAACCGGGGAGCTCTGCAGACCCAGCGGCGGGTCCGGGCTGCGGCGGTGCGGGGGTCCGGCGGGCAGGAGGGGATCAGGGGCGGCCGGGGGCTCACGGCAGAGCGCCAGCGAGAGGGAGAAGCTGCGGATGCGGCGGCTGGCGCAGGCCATGCACCGGCTGCGGCACTACCTGCCACCCGCGCTGGCGCCCGCCGGGCAGAGCCTCACCAAGATCGAGACCCTGCGCCTCGCCACGCGCTACATCGCCCACCTCTCGGCGCTGCTGGGCCTCAGTGAGGAGGTGCTGCTACTGCGCCGCGGGGCGGCCGCCCGCCGCTGCCCGCTCTGCCCCGGGGGCCTGGGCTGCTGCCAGCCCCCGCAGCCCCGGCCGCGCTCCCCAGCCCCGCAGGAGAATTCGCCCCCCGGCTCGGAGGGTTGGGGGACCCCCCCAGAGCTGCGCGGGGCTCTGGATGCGGGGACGGGGACCTGGGGGTCGCTCTCCAACGGCCCCGTGTTGGAGACCCGTCCGCAGCTGCACGTGGTTCCTGACGTGGGGATGGGGCTCTGGTCACCACCGTCCTACAGCCCCACCGCGGGGACCCCCCCGGAGCTGCACGGGACGCCGGGCTTTATGTCACAGCCCTCACCATCACCGCTGTGCAGCATCAGAGCAGCGACCCTGATGGAGCCCCCGCGGAGATGCGCAGCAACCACAGGCACCAGGACAGGTCCCTCCTGCTGCACGGAGCCCGCAGCCCCCTCCCTGTATCCTGGGATGAGAGCAAAGGCCATGGGACCTTCAGGACTCCACACATGCGGCTCTCAGGTACACACGGGTGCATGCGGGCTGACGGTGGAGTCTGGGATGTGGTGGGGTGGGATGGAGGATGCTCTTGCAGTGCACGTGTGTGCCATGACCAGGGTGACTGCATGGGGTGGGGGCACAGCACAAAGCACACCGAGATGCAGAGCCAGCCCAGGATGCATGCACATGGCCACAGCACTGCCCCACGCAGCCGCCTGACACTCAGCCTTTCTGCAGATCGGCAGCCCCCTGGACCAGGACCTGTTCATCTCCTCCGACGTCCACGGGACCCCTGTCCTGCCCGGCTGCAGCCCCGCACGGTGCTGGGGGTGGTGGAGCTGATGACAGCTGATGACACAGCATGGGGACAGTGCCAAGGGGCACTGCGGGACACTGGGAGAGGCTCCTCATTAAAGCTGCTGTGCACTGCTGCACTTTGCCTTTGGTTATTGCGGGGCTCCTGATCACTGCGTTCCGACAGGGAATGGGGCCCCGGGGGGGGGGGTTGTGGGAGGGCAATGTTCAGCCTTCACTTCCACATTACACACCTCGATGTGCTGCCCCCAGTCTCGGGGCTTGTTGTACTGTCCCACAGCTCAGAGACGTCCCCAGAGCTGGAGTGACAGAGGGACCCCATTTCTGGTCTCCCTCAGCCCTCCACCTGCCCAAGTCCCACCGATCGCCGGGGCACGGCGCCCATCCACCCGCCGACCCCCCCCCTCCTTTCTGCACCCACGAGGGTTTGGGGTTGGGGCTCGAGGAGCTGCGCCACCCCCCCCCCCCGCAGCGCCGCTGCCGAGCTCACACGCAGCCGTCAGACGGAGAGGCCGAGCGCTGGCGTCGGCGCAGCCCCCGGAGCCACTTAGCACCGGGATCCTAACAACCTCCGCTCCAGCCATTTCCTGCCCCAGCCCCGCTCAGCTTCGCAGCCGCTGCCACACCGCGCTCCCGTGCACCTCTTTATTTACGAGACCCCACGTCTGGCACGAGCCCTCGCTGTGCCCGGCCCCGTGCCCCCCGCCCATCATCCAGGCGCCGGGCGCTTCCCGTCACGAGCAGCAAAGGGCTCGGCCGGGCGGGCCGGGGCGGCGGGCGGCAGCGCTCCGGGGTGGGCGCGGGACGGGGACGGAGCGGGAGAGCGGCCGGAGCGGCTTCGGGGAGCGACGGCGGACCCCGCGGCGCGGCGGTGCGCAGAGCAGACTTAGCTGGAGGCGGTCTCGGCGCTGAACCAGGCGAGCACGACCTCCTTGTTCGCATTCACCCAGTTGATGTTGGTCCTGGTCCGCTCCAGCGCCTGCTCCAGGGCGCGCGTCCCCGAGCCGAAGCCGACGTCCTGGTTGTCTGCCTTGAACTGCTCCAGCTGCGAGGGAGGGACAGAAGGGCTGGGGAGGCGGGGGGACCCCGCAGCGAGCACACCGCGACGGCAAGCGGAGCAGGGCACACGCAGGGCTCGGTGGGACAGAGGGACCCGGGTGCAGAGGTGCCAGCTGGCAGCCGCTCACCTGCTGCAGCTCAAACTCCGTGTTGAAGCGTTGGGTGACGGCTGTAATCAGCCGGGAGAAAGAGAAGGAGCCGCCGCCGTACCTGGGGGACAGGACAGATGGCTGAGCCGTGTTGGAGCTGCCCAGCGTCCCCCCCGGCACACAGGCAACTGCTGCTGCTGCTGCTCCCCGCCCCACGCAGTGCTCACTGGCTGAAAAGTGTCTTCCAGTTGCCTCGGATGAAGTCCCAGGCCAGCGGCTGCCCCACCACGTTGCTGGCGATGCTGTTGATGGTGGAGGTGGCGTCCTGCCTGCGGATCTTGGTGGAGTCAAGGGTGTACTGCAGGTACCTGGGTGGGGGGAGCTGCCAGGTGAGAGGCTGCAGGGGCAGAGCCGGGTCCCCCCCAGCCCTGCACCCACCGCTGGAGGATCCAGGGTTCAGTGCTGCAGGTCAGGGCCGTGCGCAGCTTGTCGGCCTCGGACACCACAGGAGCCTCGAGGAAGCGCTCCCATATGAAGTCCCACGCCTCCTCCCCTCCTGTGGCCACGATGCTGCAGTAGATGGCAGAGCGCAGGTTCGGGGCAATGCTGTCGGGGAGAGATGTCTCAGCACGGAGCCCTCGCTGTGCCCAGCCTCTCTGCCCAGCCACGGCACTGCAGCACTCACGGGTTGTTGCTGACGTTGTTCTTCCACTGGTTGAAGAGCTCGGTGGCCAGCTCCTGGCACTCAGAGATGCTGTAGGAGCAGGCTGTGCTGATGGCATTGATCTCGTTGTACCTGGGGGAGAGAGCAGCCCGCGGGGCTGGGATGGGCGCACAGCCTCCGGCACCCACTGGCCACATGGGGGGCGAGCGCCGCACCGCGCACAGGGCAGCAGGCAGCCCAGAGCTCTGCGGCACTCACTGATCCATCAGGTTGACAGGGATGGTTGTCCAGTTGCTGGTGACGTTCTTATAGTGCTCAAAGAGCGGAGTCACTTGCTTCTGGATGTATTTCTGCAGGGCGGGTGGGCAGGGCTCAGCATGCAGCCCCCGCAGCAGCCCCAGCCCTCAGCACCCCCTGGGGCTGCGCTCACCCTCATGGGCCCGAACACTTCGCTGCGGTCGAACATCAGCTGGAAGTACTGCAGGTTGCTGAGCGCTGCCTGCCAAGGCATGTACTCTGTCTCCCCGCTCAGGAAGCGCGTGGTATTCAGTGCCAACGTCACATCGACTTGCAGTGCCCTGCAGCGGGGAGATGGCAGCGTGGAGATCCACCCCTGTGCCACCCGTGCCGTGCATCCCACCGCGTGCCGCCCAGCCGCCCCGCTCACCTGGCCAGGTTGAAGGCATCATCGATGATCTGCGCCCGGTTGATGACGGGGATGACCTGGGGGAGAGCAGAGGCGGTGCCACAGGGCAGCGCCAGCGTGGGGCGTGTGGGATGGGAGTCCCACGTACCTGGTGGTTGTTGGAGAGCTGCTGCAGGAGCTGATCCCAGTTCTCCTGGTTGTAGTTGACGCGGAAGTAGCCGCTGACATTGAGGTTCAGCAGGAGCCAGGTGGAGCTGCCCACACTGAAGTTGCTGTTGATGTCTGTGTGGGCAGAGGGGTTCTGCTCCTGCCCCGAACCCACCAGCACATGGGGGGGCAGCGAGTCCCCAGCCCAGACCCCAGCACCATACCTGAGACGTTCACCAGCCAATACCTGTCCCCAGTTCTGCTAGGCGTCATCCAGGTGATGGGGACAATCCAGGTGTAGCTGTGCAGGGGACACAAGGCCAACAGCCATTTCTCACCACCCACCCCCCCCATCCCCTCCACACTCCACAGCACCACAGTCCCAGCCCCACTCACTTGAACACGGAAGGTCTCTCCACTGTGGAGTTGGAGTCGAGAAGGAAGTGGCTCTGCTTGACGCTGCCGGTGAGCGTGTCAACAGTCACCAAAGGGAAACCCATCTGCAGCGTCCAGCGGTCCATGATGTTACTGATGGTGTTGGGCAGAGGCACGCTGTTGTTGTTGACAGCCTGTGAGAGGTGTTGGCAGTGTTCCCCGGTGCTGTGGGGCCCGGCCCCATGCAGGAACCGAACCCCTCTCCCAGGGGGGAATGCAGCCACTGGACCCGGAGGGGGTGGGGAGGGTGGGAGCAGCACGGAGGGCTGCCCACTCCGCTCATACCTCCTGCAGGTGCTCCCACAGGTCTGTGTACACGGTGTTTCCGTAGGCAAAGGTGTGGAGGTAGGACTGCAGGAGAGCACCAGGAGAGCTGGGTGGGGAGGGGCAGAGGAGCCCCGTGGAGCCCCAGGGAGGGGAAAAAGACCGCCTGCCGCAGACACATGCACCACAACGCAGCCCAGCAACCCTCAGCTCACCTGCAGCCCCTCCTTGAACACGTCTTCAGTGAGGAAGTCAGAGAGCATCCGCAGCACCGACGCTCCCTGCGGAGACAGCAGTGAGGCTCTGAGCACACAGCGACCGCCGGGGACCTCGCGCTGCCCGATGCTGAGCACCCACCTTGCTGTAGGCGATGCTGTCAAAGACCTCGCTGATCTCTGCTGGGGTGTTGATCTCATCCTCGCTGAAGGTGAGCGGGTGGGAGGTGGTCAGGGCATCGGTCGCCATCACCGAGTGCAACTCATTCAGCACCATCAGGTCTTTCTGCGGGGGTCGGTGCAGCCATCAGCGCAGCACTTGCAGCAGGGCAGCACCTGGGCGCTGGGCAGCAGGGGGTGCCCGTGCCCTTGCCTCGTATCCCCATGCCCATGCCTTGTGCCACATACTTGTCTCCCGTGCCTCATGCCCCACACCCATGCTCCAGGCCCCAGACGCATGCCCCACATCCCATACCTGTGCTCTACACAGCATACCCGTGCTCTGTACAGTATAACTCTACTCTGAGCCCCACACACGTGCCCCAAGTCCCATACACACTCCCTATGCCCCACGTCGCTGGGACCAGCACTCACAATGTTCCAGGTGGGCTCTGCTGAGTCTGCGCCCAGGTACTCCACGTAGGAGGCAAAGCCCTCGTTCAACCACAGGTCGTTCCACCACCGCAGCGTCACCAGGTTCCCAAACCACTGCAGAGGAGTAGAGCGCCCTGTCAGCGGGGCACCGTGGCTCCAGGGGCGAGCAGGGGCCCGGCAGGTACCTGATGGGCCAGCTCGTGGGCGATGACGGTCACCACGCGCTCCTTGTTGGCAATGGAGGAGTAGGCGTTGTCATAGAGCAGCGAGTTCTCCCGGTAGGTGACCAGTCCCCAGTTCTCCATCGCGCCCGCGTTGAAGTCGGGCAGGGCGACCTGATCTGGAGGATGGAGAGGCGCCATTGGCACATGGCCGCAGCTGGAGCAGCTGCCAGCAGCACAGCACGGCCCCACGGCCCCCGCACCCACCGGACTTGGGCAGCGGGTATGCAGTGTTGTAGTGCTTCTCAAAGAAGCTGAGGATGGGTCCGGTCTTTTCGAGCGCGTATTCGCCCTGCCCTTCAGCGATGGCTGCGGGGCGGCCCCAGATGCGGATCTGAGAGGAGAGATGGTGCCGGGCTCAGCTGCTGCCCTGGCTGCGCCTTGGGTGCGCGGGACGGCGCTCGGCTCACCTGCACCTCCCCAGTGTCATTTTCTACACAGTCAAACTGGCTGACGATGAAGGCCAGCAGGTAGGTGGACATCTTGGGCGTGGGGTTGAACTGGGTGACGTTCCAGCTCTGCCCATCCATCTCCAGCTGGTAGGTGTCTGCAGGGAGCACGGAGCAGCTCAGCCGCCCGCCCGCCCACCCGGCACAGAGCTCCCCCGCCCCACTCACTGTTGGCAGGCATGTTGGAGATGGCCTTGTGATCGGAGGGGTGGATCATCGTCACCGTGAAGACGGCCTTCATGGCCGGCTCATCAAAGCAGGGGAAGGCTTTTCTCGCATCAGGGGCCTGCATCTGCGTGGTGGCCACCACCCTGCAAGCGAACCCA